GTTTATTAAAATTGCAGCGAATAAAACTAATGCAACTATTATGTTGATGGTTGTGTGTTTCTTTCCCTCGTAATGACAAGAATTCTAGAACTAGGTAAACTTTCCTCCAATGAACGTAGCTGGGACAGCGAGGTTGTAGCCTATCTGATCATGCAAAGCCCACTCTGGGTGCGTTTGGTAGTGCTTCTTAGAGCCTAAAATTACTACTTTAGTCATCAGAAGTTGATAATGGTGTTTGGTAAAAATCATAAAAAGTGATTTTTAAAGAACTTTTGAAGAATTTACAGCCAAAATCAGAAGCAGCCCAAAGACAACTTTGACTTTTAGATTGTACGGGAATAAGTATAGTACAATTAATAATTATCAATAAAATTAGATTAAATAATTAATTATTAATTACTAATTATATTATATACTAATTAATAATTAATAAATAGATATACTTAATAACGAATAAATAGGTAGTAATTACTTAATTATTAATTTAATATTAATTTATTACTATTAAGTTTTTAATTTTGTTAATAAAATAATAAATAATATAGTAATTATTTATTTAGTTAAAGATTAATTAATAATTAATTATTGTAAAAATAATAATTATTAAAAATTGATGATGAAATAATAGATTATTAAATAAAAATTAATAATTAATTTACTAATTATTTAATTATGTAATTAAAAGTTAATAATTACTTATAATCTAATAAATATAAGTACATTACGTAATCACTTATAATTAATTATTAATTACTTTTTCTAATTATCTAGTATATTAGTTAATTATATATATAATTTAATTATTAATGTACTCAGATAATCTATTCATTATTATTATATTATTAATATATTAATTTTTATTCGTTAAATAATTATTAATTATTAATTACTTTATATATTAATTTAAAATTATTAATTACAGTCGTCTTAATTATTCACAACAATTTAGGGCCCGTTTAGTTTGCTGATTCGAGTTTTTAATTTGAATTGAGATGTGATTTTATGTGAGAGTTTTTTACTGTAGTAAAATAGTTAGATGTGACTGTTTTTGAGAGCTTTCTACTATAGTAAAACTCGAATTTTAAATTCGAATCGGTAAAATAAACGGAGCCTAACTTCACAATTTACCAAATGCTATTATACTATCTTTTGAACCAACAACACCTGTATAATTAATGACCTGTTTAGTTCGTTAATTCGAGTTTTTAATTTGAGTTGAGATGTGACTTTATGTAAGAATTTTTTACTGTAATAAAAAAATTAAATATAATTATTTATAAGAATTTTTTATTGTAATAAAATTTAAATGAATGAGACTATAATTTATTAAATACTCAGTTACATTTTATATCAACCGTTTTTTCCTTGATCACGGTTAAAAACAATTTTTTCATTACCAACGGTGCTACTAAACTGTCCCATAAACTTCAGATTTGACCGCACCAAAATCGTCCCTTTTCTTTCTATTTTCCGTCGTCCCTCATCCCTAATTTCCTTACTCACCCTCAATTCAATTCCTTTCATCCATCTTTTACGGTTCTCGTTTCTCAATTTAGGGCTTCTCTCTCTCTCTCTCTTCCACCGTTTCTTTCCTTCAAAAGATGCAGAGGTCGCCATGGCTAAGCCTGGGATAGGTATTTGGGTTTTCCGTTCCGTTTCCGATCGAAATTCCGGCAAGGGATTTAGGTATTTCAATGTGTATTTCATCGGATGCCGGTTCCGCTTCCGATCGGCGTTCAATTCTTATTCTGTTGCTTGTGAGGCGTTCTCTGAACAGTGTCTTCGTTCTTGTTCTCTTCTGATTCCTTCGAGTGTAAACAGCGACTTGATTTTATAGGGGTTTGCGGTTCGATTTGTTTTTCTTTTTCAAAATTCTTTCTTCCTCCTGATGATTCGTTTTTGGGATATTTTTTTGTCGTCATTTTCGCGATGGAGTCGTGTATAGGTTCGAATTCGAACCCTGACGACAGTGAAGCTGTGGAGAGGGATCCAACTGTACGATATTTGTGGGTACGGTATTAGAATTTGCGTTGATTGTTTCAATATTGGCGTATGAATTCTATTTAATTTTGTTTGCATAAGGAAAAGAATTTGTTTTCTTTCAATTGTTGTATTCTATGCGGTTTTTGTGTTGGTAATAAGAGTTGAAATAACGTAGTTTTATTATTTGTCCGATTTTGGCTATTTTTTCTTTTACGAGAGCTGGGTTTCTAGTGCATTTAATTATTTTCAATCATATTCTTAGGAACCAAGTAAAGCTAATTTTATTGAGGAATGAGAATATACCCGAACTATGTTATAAAAAAAAAAAAACAAAAAGAGGAAAATTTGTTTTCGGAGAATTTGTTATCTTTGTTGAAACATTACCGGGTGAACATCGGGAGAGTTGGGTGGGTTTCTGAGATTTTTCAACCTACCCAATTAAATTTGGGTAGATTGAATTTAATCCACCTAATCAACCCAAAATTTAAAATCAACCCACCCCATTAAAAATTAGGTGGGTTAAATGGTTTGATCGGGTTGATCATAGTAAAAAAAGTAAAAAATGAAAAAAAAAATTAAATAAAGCTAATCATGGAACTCAAAATAATATATATATATATATATTGCACTTACATTTCTATGGGCCAGTATGGCATACATGGAGCTCAAGAGAATCTATGAGGTTTTGATTGCTGAGCAGTTCATCTTTCTTAACTTATTCAGCATTTCTGCTTTCTAGAGATTAAAAAATTGAAATCCACTTGAAGTTAAATTGTATGTTTCAGTTGGGTATCTTTTACAGCCACGCCTATTCTAGAGAGAGAAGCTCTCCCTTCTCTCTAGAATTTTGAGGGTCGGGGAGCATTCTCTGATAAGCTACAATGTTTCAATATGATCTGAAATGTTTTTTTCCATGAGTTTAGAATAGGTTCAAAGCTGTATAAAATATCATTGAGTAGAGATACTTTTTAAAATAATGATTATACAAATTATTAGAGAAAATTTAGGCTCAAAAAGATTTTCAAGTCGAGCGAAGTTCTTTTTAAATTTTTTAATATCCTAAAATTTAAGGAAATAATTAAGGAAATAAATGTATAATTTCTTTTTGTTTCCCTTAAGTAATTAAGGAAATTTGTGGGCAGGGCGAAGTCCTTTTAAAATTATTTAATTACCCTTAAAATGTTTAGACGGACCCGATCTTGACTTGTGAGTCTTTAGGGTCACTTTCACCTCTAATTCACAACGAATAAAAGCCAGATCAATTGGTATAATATTCACTGCACTAGATCAACCAATAACGTTACATTCGCTTCTTTTAATGCCTGTAGACCCCCCCGAAGGAAGCCGTTTGAGGAACTTGTTTAGCCTTCTAGAAGCTCTCTGGCTATTGGTTTCAGGTAGGGAGTTAAAAGAAAGCAAAGCCCCACCTTTATCGAATAAGCGATTCTCACATTTTTCTGCCCAGGAGAAGATAAGTACTTTTTATATCGTTTCTTTTGAAGTGATGTAGATTAATGCCTGGACCCACGAGAAAACATTTGCAGATGTGACCATGAATCGAACCAGATCGAAACAATCAACTGCCGACGGACAAACTTTGTCGAAATGTCGGGCAAACGAAGGATGGCCAGGCCCTGGTTCCCAAGGTTAGAGTATTCCTTATTATACGTCTACTCATATCAGAACTAAACTATTTGATTATATATGGATGTAATTTTAATAGTTACTCTAAGTAATGAGTATTATTGTTTCAATCGTCTCATATTGATCAAACAGTTGTAATAAATTTAAATAATTGACAAAAAAAAAGTATGATAATTAATGCGATTGAATTCTTATCACTGCCCATTAGGGCCGGTAATATGGGTCACGACACGATGACACGACTCGAAAACGACACGAATTTTACGGATTAAGGTTGAGAAAAAAGAAGTTCGGGTCAGAATTGGGTCGACCTGAAATTGACACAAAAAATACGAGTCAATTTCGGGCTGGACCCGCCTAACCCGAACATGACACGAAACTCGTAAAAAACTAAAAAATACATATATTTTTCATTTCATATTTTAAATTTTATTATGAACTTGTGATATCATGATAATTATACTCAAAATCTTATACTATTATTTGCTTAATTTCAATGGATGTTATTGTAATTTAGTGTGTTATGAATTTTAAGTTATTTCTAATATGTAAAAAATTAAATAAAAGTATACAATTTTCGTGTCAATTTCGAGAACACGGGTCAATTTCGTGTCACGGGTCATTTTCGGGTCGTGTCGTGTCAACTCGTAAAGTGGTCGTGTCGTGTTCGTGTTGCGGTTTTTAAAAAATTTCGTGTCACGAGTCATGTTCGGGTTGACTACAAATTTAAAAAAAAATGATCAAAACACGACACGAACACGACACGTGATACGAATTGCCACTCCTACTACCCATCATTAAATTTCTTTATATATTTAATAAGTAACCACCGATAGAAATATAATCATTAAAGACTCATCCACGTATATATTGGTAGATATATATTAGTAGTTTTAATCCGAATTTTTGCCAGCACTTTTATTATAAAAAGTAATATGTGTGATGTTGAGACTTACGCAGACTTTTGTTTCACCAGAAAAACAGATAGACAGACTTTGTTTAGACACTTTTTTGATGGAGTGTGTGTGTGTGTGTGGTGGGGGGTATATCCCCGCAGGCACAGCTACGTCTAGCTCCTTTTCATACTAGGAGCGACCGGAGAGGATAAAATCAACGACACCAGTAGCAACGAGACAAACATATCCTTCACAACAGAATATTTGAGAACATCATTCACAAACATCTTTCCACCTTGTTAACTAATCGTCCCCATAACGAGCCTTCTATAGCACAGAAAGAGTTGCACATACCCCAGCCCCTACTTCGAAAATCAACAAGCAGGCTCCGGTTGCAATAATTTTAAAAAACCAGAAAAAAAAGAGTGTTTCTTGAAACAGTTTATTTTTGTAACTACAATCTACTATCTTTAGCAAGGTAAGAAAGCACCAGATATAATTTATTAATAAAAAGGATGATGGTCTCACTTGAGTTACATTAGAGACTACTCGACCATAATTTAAAGGTTTTCTTGTCATCATAGGCAAACATCTTCCTTATGAACCAAGGCTGCTACTTAAAAGAGTATTTATCTCCCCAATGATGTTAACAGGTCTTCCATCAAACATGGATGAAAGGATACTCTCGCATAGCTTCTTTAACTCCCTTGTTTTTGAAAGAGCTGCTTCCTATAATTTTAAATGCAGTGACAATTTTGTTTCAGAAATCAAAATCGAGAACAATAAAACACCCTAAGAATAGGATTGTTTTTGCCTCTCCAAAAGTAAATACCTTGGTTCCAAAACTAATGGAATTCGACAAGGCAAAAATCAATAACATAATGAAAAAGCCTACCTGCTTTGGCCAGGATGAAGACAACGAATTCTGCAGCTCCATGCGTTTCGTAGCAATATCCTTCAGACCCTCTTTCAACTTCACTTCATGATGCTTCTTTTCCTCCAGTGTGCTGACCAGTCTATCTAAAAATCTGAAATTAAGATTAAAAAACGAGGTGAGTAATGCATTAGAAAAACCAGGAAAAAAGAAACACACACACACACACAAAAGAGCCAAGTAGCATTATACTTCATTACTATTCAAGAATCAAAACAGGGCCTCAAATACGGACTAACACTGTATTTTAGAGAGGACAGACATGATTAAATCTAAAGCATTCGAGAAAACTGCAGAGTAAAACTGACGTCACCTTTTGGAGTTGAGTATCATGATCAAGTCTCGTGTTTTCCTGTCTGTCAGAAAGGAAATAGCCAACGAAACATCGGATAACATGGTCTCAATGGCATCGGGAGCATATTGCTGCAGCGCGAAGGGAGCAACTGCCTGGACTTGATGTTGCAAAGACAAAGTTACTTCACTCTTTAACTCCATCAGCCGCTGATTTAAAAACGATTTGATCTGATAACATAAAGTGAAGACCAAATGTAAACCCAGGAGTGAAAGAGAATATTATAACAGGACAAGAAAAAGTATATAAATGGATAAACCTCATAATAAACATGTACCTCATAAAGGTCGTCAAGAATCTGATTCCTATACTCTGTCTCCAAAAGCTGGCTCCTTTCTTCCTTTGTCCCAGTAGGTTGAGTTAAATTCTCAAGAACATATGTTTGATTTTCGGAACCAATATTTGTCAAACGGACATCGTCAATTACATCAACTTGAGGAGTTTCTACACTTACATCCCAAGCTATATCTGACACAGAAATCTCTGCGAGCAAGCCATCTACTTCTTTATTTGATGGGATTTGATCAGATTCCACTGCTTCATTTGGTAAAGAACTCTGCAAGATCTCACTGGCATTCACTATTTCATATTGGCCCAAACCGTTACCAGCATCCTCAGTTTCTTCTACAGTTCCAATATCCCAATCAATCTGAGAACTGTCAACAGAAATATCCCAATCAATATGATCCTCGTTAACTATGGCGTCTGTGTTTAACTCGTTATATTTTGACTGAACATTCACAGAATCAACAATCTCAGAGGCCAGAGAAACATTCAGAGAAGGAGGATGTTCACGTATATCTCTCAAATGAAGCAACACGGTCGCAGATTTCTGTAGTTATATGCACAAATATCTGGATCAGTTGCAAATAAATTACGTAATTTCGACTACAATCAGCATCTTCAAATAATGAAAATAAAGTAAATTATGATAAAATTCATAAAGAATCTTCTTTCTTACATCGTTTTCAGTATGAACATCTTTAACAATGTTTGAGTAATATTCCATAGCCCTCGACACAGAATCACTTTGTAGCACTTCCAAAATGCTGCCAAAGGTGCTTGGAAGTGATTTTGCAGTCTCTAGAAGTTCAAATCTCACATTTTGTCCCTGCATAAAAAGAAAGTTCCATTTACATGTGAAACATGGCACGGAATCTAAACCAAATCAAATGATAAAAAACAACCAGCTAGAGAGATCCTTAATCGAAACCTGCAACCCAAGCTCTTGGCAAGCCTCTGCATACTTGGTGGCTGACAGAGCTGAATTTCTTTTAATATCAGCTTCCTTGCGCTCCAGCTCTGCTAGTTGGTGTTGAACCTTCTGCACATGTTTTTTCTGGTACGGGCTTCATAAGAAACAGCAGCTAATCAGTATGAATGAAATATTGCAGACACCTATGATTTTTCTTCCTCGCAAACGAAGCGGACAACCGCAATAAGTGCATACTTACATCTCATAATTCACATTCTGAACCATTATCTGAGCAGCCTCACCAAGGTAAATGTAATCCTTCTCGAACGAACGCACAATTGCCTCCCATGCACCCTGCCAAAGAATATACAATTTTAATTGTGCAACAACGTAATTAAAAGAAAAACTGCAGGTATGTGCAGAGGGAGAGATGACTATCTTACAGCAGCACCTGATAGCCGGCCAAATATATTCCGGCTCTCCGGAGTAGACTTCAGAAGTATGTCATATATTTTTTTGGCCTCTATGTAACTGATCCCTGGAAATTATACTCAAGTCAATATCCTATATAACCAACATAAAAACAATGATTAAAGCAGCTCAACAAGTTCCGAAGCATATTTCCTCAAAGTTTCTTCATACAAACTACACTGCACATTTAAACATCCCTCTATTTCCTCAAAGTTTCTTCATACAAACTACACTGCACATTTAAACACCCCTATATTTCCTCAAAGTTTCATCGTAGAAACAACATTGTACATTTAAAAATCCCTATACTTCCTCAATGTTTCTTTATACAAACTACAATTTTCATTTAAAAAATTTCCCGATTCATCTTACAAGCAGCTAATACTGGTTATCATATCGACACTCGACCCAATGAAAGAGTAATCTTTAACACTGTTGTTTGTTCGCCGTGTTTTTTAACCTAAGCTAAGAACAGTGAAGCACAAATTTTAACAAGTTTTTTATGGAAATAATTATTCGGATTAAACTGAAATCAACATTAAAAAAACTTAGTAATAATCCAATTAAAACAAATCAAATGTACATGATCTCGAATAAACTAACCTTCAGAGTCTAAGGTCTGGAAATAGGGATCGATTTCCTTGGGAAGCGAAGCGAATTCCTTGGCGATGTGAGCTCTAACAACGGCCAATCGCTTCCGCCAATCCGCCGGTATTCTCTTCCG